GTGTGTGTGTGTGTGTGTGTGTGTGGTATAATATATGTATATATATATATATATGTATATATATATATATATGCGTGTGTGTGTGTGCGTTTGGTGTATAAGGGTGCGTGTGTATAAATTGTATATATATAAATATGTGTGTGCGTAGGCGTGTGCATTTTTTTTGTGAATGTGTGTGTGTGTGTGTTATTTTTTGTGGATATATATGTGTGTGTGCGTAGGCGTGTGCATTTTATTTTTGTGAATGTGTGTGCGTGCGTAGGCGTGTGCGTGTTATTTTTTGTGGATATGTGTGTGTGCGTGCGTATGTATTTGATGTCTGTGTGCGTATGTTTGTATGTAGGTGTGTGTGTGTATGTGGTGTCTGTGTAATCGTGAGGACGTTCGCTTCTACTTGATAGAACATGTGTTGTAATTCCGTAAGATTCCTGTCGACGATTCACCGAGTACTAGCGCCGCAGGCGATGTTTAGTATGCATGTCAAAGGTATGTGTGTCAACTACACTCAGTATGAAGCGATGTTCGGAATCTAATGTTGAGATCATGCGCGGTGCTTCGACACTGCATGCCGGATAAAAATAGTCAAGTACAGAAACGCCGTCATTTATTTATTGTAGAATTATATTTTGAAACTAGTTGCACAAATTGAGCTATGATTCCAGTTGGATGCAGCCCTCGAGGGCGATGAATCACCAGTCAAGCCGGTGCCCCGCGACTGCACTCGAATAGTTGGCGCTCGTCTCATTGTTGTAAACCTATGAGAAATACTCATCCAAGTTTGTTTCCTGTGCTGTCAATCCAAGTGATCGACGGCATTACACGTTATGTGCGTACTCCGACTCCGCACTGGGGTAGTGCTAGCAGAAGGGAGATGACCCCCTTCAGTTTCGGATTATATAAGCAGTGCATTCTTTCTGTATGACTGGCAGGGTACTCTTGTAGTGGATGCGACTTTTCTTTTTCCTGTTTCCTTCAAAAACGTTCAATCGTGCCAAAACCATCAACAACCATGGCTAGTCCAAGGATCTCTGACACGGGCATGAACCAACAGCATCGGCTCTGGCTTTGCAGTCCATACAATGTACGTGCGTATCGTATCTACACATGGGTAGCGGTGGTGCTTGATGTGTGCAACAGATCGGACACATGACTTTACTGATACCGAAACTCACGGCCTCGTCACCAGAGGAGCTTGACCTTGATTTGTCGTTCATGCTGTGGCGTTTCGCCAGGGAGTTGGAGGCTACGCTTTCTCGCTTTTGAACCATGATGCTGAAGTGGGCGGACGTTACTAACGACGATGCCAACGGCCAAATCAATGCTGCACAACGATGCGAAGCGACAGTGCACAAGTTCGGTAATGCGTGATTTACTCTAGCAGTGCAGGTGTGGTGAGTATGTTGAATTGTTCACTTCCTTTGTACGCAATTTCCGATGGATCTATTTAAAAGCTCTTTAGCTTTTCCTAGTAGTAGTAAATAGTTCATCTCTCAGCTGAGCTGCGCGACTACCACCTCGCCGACCAGTGCCGAGTTAAATACCGACTGCTGGGGCCTTGGGTTCAACGTTTATATCGCGACTGCCCTATAGTTGACACTACGCCTGCATGATCGGAGCCCAGATCTTCAAAAGGGGTGTCCGTATAGTTCGTAAAATGGGCCGATTTTCCCTCCTGTCCCGTAAATTTTTAAAAGCGCTTTCTCATAGTCTTCTAAATTAGACAGCTTTATATAGCCGAATAGTTAATAAGCGTTTACGTTGAACGTTTTTTTAAAGTTGAACCTCTTTGGCGAATTGAGTTGAGGTCTGCGCAACAAAAACTACCATTTTATCGTCCGAAGTTCGGATAGGGGCTTCATTACTAGTAGTAGGGGGCCTGGCGCAGGGGCCAGGGTCCGCGGGGCGGGGGTACAGGAACTTCAGACTGCATACTGAAGAGTATTGTCTGACTATTATATATACATGTATTTATCTACATACATAAAACAATAAAGTGCTATTTCATAGCCCTCCTGTAAGCGATGTCCCATATTTACAAATAAAATTGCATTGACATATTTTCACGTAGATATGTCTCATTTCAGTACCAACAACATTTAATTATGTCATTTTCCGTAGCGCTCGGTGCTTTGAAGCGAATCGCCAGCACCACTATACGCACCCGAACCCTAATGCTGACACCTACGTTTAAAGCGAAGTCAAAATATGCCGTACATAATCTATCTAGCCTCAGGCCTGAGCTGCCGATGTTTGCGAGGTATGTGCTTATATATGCTCTTGAAAAATCGGTGTCATGTGCGATTCAGTCTGTTAGAGTTGATGTTGTTGCGCCTTGCTTCAGGAAGTATTCTCCCAATACGTTGCCATTTTCATATATGTGTGTATACAATATATATATATATATATATATATATTCGATGAATATATATACATATATATATATATGATATATATATATATATATTTATATATATGTATATATATATGTGTGTGTGTGTTTCTGTGTGCACTATATATTAATATATATATATATATATATATAATATATATTTGTGTGTGTGTTTTGTGTTTATTTGTACACTATATTATATATATATATATATTTATTTATATATTTATATATACTTCTAAAAGTTATTTACTACATATCACAAAGCTTCGATCAATGGTTTAGATTCTCTGATTTTCAAATAAAATCTGTGATAGTGCCACTATAAAGTTGCTCGTGCCTAATAGGTTGCATTTTGTGATATCCCCGTCGTAGCAGTTTGGATATCCACTCCTTCTATTTTGTGATATATAAATATATGTATATATATATATATATATGTATACGCTGTATTTCTTCATACACGCCAACGCACGCACGCACATATATATATATATATGTGTGTGTGTGTGTATGTGTGTGTGTGTGTACATATGTATATACATATATATTTACTATATATATATATATATACATATATATATATATTTATATATATATATATATGTGTGTGTGTGTGTATATGTATATGTATATGTATATATATTCGCATTTATACATATCTGTATATTTATATTTATATATATATACATATATATGCGTACGTGAGTGTGTCGTGGTGTGTGTGTATATGCACATTATATATATATATATATATGTGTGTGTGTGTGTGTATCTGTGGGTCTTTATGTAGGTGTGTTTTGTAGTGTCTTGATGTAGGTGTGTTTTGTATAGATATTTATTTATATGTTTATATAAATATATGTATCTATATATATATACAAACACCTTCACACAGACACACACATATATATATTTATTTATTTTTGTATATGTATATGTATGTATGTGAATGTATGTATATATATATTTACATAAGTATGTATTTTTACTTATACATACATACTTATATATATATGTACATATATGTATATATGTGTGTGTGTGTGAGTGCGTTTGTATGTAAATTATCATACACGTATATATTTAAATATATATGTACATGTTTATATATATATATATATATATATATATATATATATATATATATATATATATATATAAGACATCAGCCCGCTTGAATATTTGGTTTCTTTTCGTAACTACGCTGGTACCTGAATAACTCATAGCGGTATTGTGCGGCCACTGTTATTAGAAGAGCTAGTTCTAGTATTGGATTTTTTTCTGAATGATTATCCTTAGATTGTATTGGTAGTAAGTTTAGTTTCAATATATGTCCGAGAATACGCGTTCTGTGTGTGCTGATGTTGTTTCGGTTATCTGCGGATTGAAGATCACGACAGGTGAGGTGCTGCACAGACAATGGCTACGGAATGTGTGTTGTGTTATTCCATTGTATTTGGACAGATTCATCTGTCAGTCGTATACTTGTTTTGATTCATTTTGATCTACTGTGGTTTCTCCGATACAAATTACGATCGTACTGGCGCAAACGTAACACTTTTCTGCCTTGCTCACTCGAATTAGTGATCCAAATACATACTCAAAAAATGTAAGACATTTGCATATATCTATAATTCAACAGGCTTCCCTATAGCTGTATACACTTTGATTGTATGTTTTTTAGATGGCGTAGTTTAAATACAGTGAGCTTCGTCTGTCGGTCGGGTACTCCGACAAACGACGCTCCAAGATGTTCATTCTGAAAGCCTCGCATAGGCACCATGATCACACTCTTCTATGTCACAAACATAACCCATCAATATGTACATTTGTAACGCACAGGTTCCGTTCCGCAAACAGTTTATCGGTTCGTGCTATTGGTTCGACATCTGCCACAGTGAAGCCATACGCTTGTGAGTGGCCCAACTGTGGCCAGACATCTGCCAGTGCTGCCAATCTGAAAGTACATATGCGTGTGCACACGGGCGAACGTCCCTATGCGTGTGACTATCCTGGGTGTGGCATGGAATTTACTACAAAAGGTAATTTGAATAGTCACAAACGCGTGCACACGGGCGAACGTCCCTATGCGTGTGACTATCCTGGGTGTAGCATGGAGTTTACTACAAAAGGTAATTTGAAATGTCACAAACGCGTGCACACGGGCGAATGTCCATATGCATGTGACTATCCTGGTTGTGGCATGGAGTTTGCACAAAGTAATAGTTTGAGAAGACACAAACGCGTGCACACGGGCGAACGTCCCTATGCATGTGACTATCCGGGGTGTGGCATGGACTTTACTCGAAGAGAGCATTTAAAAACACACAAACGCGTTCACATTGGCTAGCACGACTCACTCCACTGATTAAACATAAGGCGCTGCATAGGTGGGGCTATTCAATACATACACGCGACTTTGTTTGTTGCCATAACACATTGATTCTAAAGGTATTTATTGGCATACATGCCGTTGTAGCAATGCACGATTTATAGACTGTATATATAGTCGTACACTATTTATGTATTCTATTCACTGTATTTATAGACTGTAAATATTGTCATACACTCTATAAATAGCCACCCAAATCAGACAATAAAAATTAATTTTTAAACTTTTCGAGTGAACACTGTTTTGTTTATGTTTTATACTAACAAATTAAAAAATCACAACTCAGGAACAATAAAAATCGTGTTATTTAACATACATATCCAATGAAATCGTATTATTTTGACCTGCTGCTATTCATTGATTCTGAAAACTGAGGTCTGATTTCTGATTTCTGAACGGTGAACAACTGAACACTGAACCGGGCTCTTTGGCTCCAAAATAAACCTTAGCCCCTAAATCATTTTATTTTTATTTTTAAAAATAGTACACAACCATGCCCCATGGCCCTTGGTCATGGGCCGCGGGGACGTGGCCTGTGGGCAAGGTCTATAGGCTACAGCTTTTGACCAATTTACAACAGTAACCATGTCGTAAAGTGTATGCATTCTCGACTATTTATTTTTACATAGTAACCCCCTGTATACTGCAGCTCGAAACCACTTGTAGGTGGTTTGTGGATAGTTTGGCTTTGGTTTTGTGTTATAAAGACGTGTACATAAATGAAGAAATCTATAAAAATAAGTGGTTTGTTGGTAGTGTGGTCATGGTTGTAATTGACACTAAGATGTATAAAAGTATTTAATAATACATGATTAAGAAACAAGGTATCTGAATTCTGAAGTTCATACTCAAAGCTTATTGATTGTTGTACGACATATTCTGTGGACAGTATCAGATTATTGATTGTATAGAATCGGCTGTGGTTGTTAAAAGTCTTGCCTTAGACACTTTCTTGCCGCATACTATTGGCGCCCTGTATCGCTTCCAGGGCCATAAGCATCTTTAGAATCGCCGTATTGACTTCTTACTATGTTCACACAGGTGTATTTTAAAATGTAAATACATGGGGCAGAGCCGAGGAGAAGGTGGTTGCATCAGTCGTTCTGACTACATTTTCGGGAGTGTAGGTCTTGCAAGCTGTAATCTACGAACAATAAGCTGAGATATAATAAATTAGGTGAATGTACAACTAGATCAACCAACCTATTACTTTGTCCGTTGGTTAAGTCATGCTAGGTTGATTGACTCAGTCATTCGTCTAATGTTATAAAAAAAACTGGAGAAGTGTTACCAGTACTTTGTTCCCGGTCTGCACGATACGCTCACACGTGTATGTATTTTACTTATCACTGGGATTATCACTCCTAGGCTGATTTTTGACGTTTTAGAATAGTATTACTGCCGAGCGCGGAAGGTTCAAATAAATCTGCACAGAAGTGGTGATCCCGGCATGTGGAAGATTGTTTCAGCAAAATCTACTTATGAGAGGATTGTGCATACTGAGATCAAAGTATTCGTGACACTCTCCAGTTTTCTTGCTGTATTGAACTAGGTTGAACCAACTAACGTAGTACTATGTTAGTTAACTAATCATTCGCCGTATACCAGAAGGGTCTGTGGTAAGCTCGAATCTTGTCTTGGTACACTACAATGGCATTAGTTTGGTTGGTTCAGTCATTCTCTTAATTTACTATAACTGCTTTGAATACTACCTTGCTCTCTGCTTTGTCAAATGTGGTCATAGGGGAAACAAAAGTTAACTAGACAAGTAAAATCTCTCTATCGTAAATATTCTGAATAGAATCGTCTTTGGTTGTGAGAGTAAATCTTCAGTTAAATTAACTGTATTTCACCATGGACCATACTTCGACATTTTATTCCTTCAATCCGGAAACACGCGCCTAAGATTTGTATGCACTTGTTTGTATAGGGATAGTATTATTTATTTCAAAGGAAATAAGTTACAATGTATGAAGTGAATTGTGTCGACGATGGAAGATATCAAAAACCTGACACCATCGAGTGTGCCATGTATTCGCTTGCTGACCTACTAATTAGCGTACCCACCTTTGTGATACAAATCCGGTCTGCCCTATAAAAGTCAGACTAACCAGGCTGACTATCGATGTCAATAAGTTAACATAAAAAAAATACGATTTCAAAAAATATTTGCACAATGTAATTTAAGTTTAGCTTTAGCCCTTGGTATTGAGCTAAAAGATTAGGGGAGTTAAGACTGAGACTATTGTCTTAATTAAATCAGATTTCATTTCATTAGATACAAGATATTATGTTCCGTATCATTTTACACCACGCTTCGAAACAATTTTACAATCGCAATCACTAGTACAATAACTCTAAGTCCAACTTAGGAAAATAAAAAAATAAATCAAAAACACCTTGTTGGTACATGTAAGTGTCTGTACCTATACCCCATCGAATGGTACCTAGCTCTCCATCCCATTGAAGGCATAGACGGGCATATCTAGTCGGCTGGCTAGGGGGGATCATTTTCCTGCCCCATTTCTCAGTGGGCTATCTCGTGCTGAGAGTATTCGGAAATATAACATGTGTCATCAAGTGTCAATTTCACCTGAGACTCTCCCAACTATTATATCCCAATATTCCGATGGAAAACATATCGTTGTAGAGAAGCCATCATATCAATATCAACAGCGTCTCCGGCCTCTGTTGTAAACAAATATATTTCCAAATATCCCAAAATAGATTATTTGTTTGTTTGTTTTCTGGAACTTCAATATATCTAAATTTGGATTTTTTTGATTATTATACAAATATCTACAATTGCGTTTCAACGTATACCAGATTTTACAACCGTAATAGCGTTTAAACGGTAATACTTTTATAATATACGTTTAACATGTGCTTCTACTACAGGAACCCACTGATTTTACATGTCGTGGAATGAATTAGTGCAGAGTAGGACCAGGCTATCCATCATAATTCGGTTGAGGGGCACAGAGGTTGGGGATGAACCAATGCCACACCAGACCACGGACGCACTCGGTATGTGCTGGTTGGCCTGGATTGGAAGTATCATAGGCGGAAACAACAGGCGTGATCACTTGATTCGGACAGAAATTTGTGAGTAATATTTCAATAGCGTGATTAGCCGGGGTATGGAAAACATCTGTTGGTGTGTCAGAGGTGGGTGTGAATACGGGGGTTGTTCTACATGCTGGAGAAAGGATCCAGGGTATTAATGGAGGGTCCAGATACCGTGGATATCGTGGCGCTCATGAAATTGATGGAGGAGGTCAGGGCAAATGGGAGGCAGTTTTGGTCCTACTAGGATACGTCGGATCAATTATTATTGCAGGCAAAGTGGCTGGTAGTGAATTTGTGGCCGAGCAATGTGAACATGCACGTATTCGTTGCAACCATGTATTCGTTGCAATCAAAGCCGATGGGTCGTGTCTGGCTTTGTCCCGATTTGAGGTTGGCGATTTGCCCGTAACCAGTTGGTTATAATATTAGCGCCGGGCCATTGCCGCATTCTCCTTGTTGGACCAACGTTCCGTTGAGTTATTTCTAATGTCGTCACCGTGTCGGCGGAGGGCTACATGGTCTAGTGTACACCCGCCCGTGGGTTTGTATACAGTTTTCAGGTGGGCATAGATACTGTACAGGAAGCACAGTGATGGTTTGTCGTGAACCCAGGCGGTTAAGTAGGGTTTTTCTGGCCATTGAGTCGAGTTGTGTTTCCAGGTGTAAAAAGAGCGGGTTCCTAATAGTAGTTGCACAGTTAACGCAACTTATAATACTGGAATACGTTTAACGAATTGGACATGAACAAGAACTGAGATATTCAAGATTCTGAACATGTGATAGTACTCAGTAGAGTATGGGACTCTACTGTGGACGATTAGGTGGTTTTCCAAATATAGATTGGGTTTTCCACTGAATTCAAATCTTCCATGGCAAATAATACCACGGTTGCTAAATTATGTACATATTCAAGATGCTACCATCACGTTGTGTTGTCCCCTAAGACACTCAGATAAATGGATATCACAGTTGATCTCAACGATACAATGTGAGCCGATCTATGTGGATAGAAAGGTAGATACTTTTCTCTACCAGGGTACCCGTGCAGTCCAAAAGACGCCTTGGCGACATACTATTATATGTCGAATAGGTCCAGTTGGAACAACCAAGTGGACACCATCCGAGACTTTTAAACAGAAGGTTGAGGAATCCAAGATTCCACTCTTGAATCCTAAGTCTCAATCAGAGACTGAGCCAACACAAGGACCTACAGTATGTGTTACCGAGATACAGCCAAATTCCGCAACACTAACGAACGCCTTCTACAACAAGATACGGTCTGACAGGGAAACTGCATACCAAACAGGAACTCGATTACTTAAGCAATTGACGAATGACTTTCCCGAGGTATATGATCATGTGACTCAACTAATGGATAGATCAAACATTAGTCGGATTCACGATGCAGAAGCCTTAGGCGAGATTGGACAAGACGAGTCTTCGAGTCCAGGTGATGACGCGGTGGAATCCTCACCTCCTGATTTCAATGTAATCACATGGGGCGATTCTGAAGTGGTTAAGATGAAAAACATGCGCTTAAGCACATGGATAAGGTTTGAACTGAGAAAGATTGCAAGAGGTGCGGAATCGTACACCCGAACCTCAAGCAATATATATCTCAGGTGCATCACGAATGTAACAACTGCGAAGTTAACCGGATTTAGCACTAATGATACGCACCTTTACGCAGCGTATCAGAAGACGGGCCGTGGCGCCGGGTTATCATTGATTTGGTTAAGCTACCCACGTCTGAACACACGAAGGATAAATATGTCATATAATGTATTGTATCCGCTGAAAGATAAATCGACTCACACTGTAGCTGAGTGCATATATAAGTATTGTATGTTCCGACAACGGTAGTGAGTTTACAGGAGATGTCATGACGACACTGTTACTCGTTGCGGGATCATGCCATAAGATGGGTGTACCTTACAAGCCTCATACACAAGGGGCGAACGAGGTACGACACAGAAAGATGAAGGAGTTCATGCAAGGAGCACTACTTGATGATGCTGACATGTGGCCGTACTCAATCAATTGGGTACATACACAGATGAACGAATCACCTGATTCAGTCACTGGTACAACACCCGCTCACTATCTCCGGGGCCGTTATAGTGAATTACAGATC